AAAAAAAAAAAAAAAAAAAACAAGGCTATCTGGACTTTTTGCTACTTACTGTATTATTCATACATGTTTGGCCTATTTTTTGGTAATCATTTGTCCTATATTTTAAGTCATTTTCATTAGCTTAAAAACAGTAACTTGTTAGATGTCTAATCAAACAAGATTTATGTTTATATCTCTGCATTTATATATCCTGTGTTGGTCCATAAAGAACACTACCAAGTGCCCAAAAAGTCTGAAAACACAAGGACAATATTTACGTATTTTTTCAGTTTAACAACTGAACTCACTCTCTGAAATTTAGAGGAATATCAACTAAAAAGGCATATGAAATTGAAAAAAAAACATTTGGAACCTATTGTTTGAAAATATAACAATATAAGTTTATCTGATGTTTTCAGACTTTTGGACACCCTATAAATTATATTACCTAACATGCTACTCTCCCATTGACACAGGTTTATTGTTTTACCGAAAGTCTACATCCTCTCTGGTGTAAGTAACTCTCCTTTATCATTCCAACCCACTTTCCCAGACTTCCCTCTTGCTATTTAAAACATGAAAACACTGCTGATGCTTGATAGAGACTGCATTCCAACTTTTAAGAGGATCATTCAAAAAAAATGTAAATTTAAATTTGAAAAAACAATTAAATGTGGAGGGAAAAACTTCAACAGAGTAGAATGCTTTAAATGTAATACTAAACATTTCCCAGAAATTAAGGGTGGGAATTGTTTCCTTCCTCCAATGTTTATCAAGTTTCTTGAGATAAAAATGTCTTGCCATACCTCTTATCACTTTAGCATGAAAAAGCAACTGTGAACTCTGATAATAACTGCTTGCATTTGTTGAGTGCATACTAAGTGGCAGGATTTCAGATATATTACCTCATTTAATCTTCATCACATGTATATGAAATATATACATTTATAAATGAGGAAACTGTCACACAAAGGCTACAAGGTTACACAGAGCTATTTTGTGGTGAGCTGTAATTCAAACTCAAGCAATCTAACTCCTTTTAACTATAACTCTGTAATGTCTCCCAATATTTGATAATGCTAATTAACCTAAAAAAGGTCAAAAACAAAACAATACAAAAAACCCTCCTGGACTTTAAAAGGCAACAGTAATAGTATTGTTTTAAATTCTGTATCCCTTACAATGAGATTAAATACCTATGAAAAATATGATTTCATTCATTCTTAGAAAATATGAGTGTTGTGTTTATTTTAAAATACAAATTAAACACAAGTCATTTTTTATAATTTACTCAATCGTAGGAAAATTTCATAATTAAGACTGATCTGTGGAATATCTCCTTAATTTTTTTTTTTTTTGAGATGGAGTCTCACTCTGTTGCCCAGGCTACAGTGCCAGGGCATCAGCCCAGCTCACAGCAACCTCAAACTCCTGGACTCAAGCAATCCTTCTGCCTCAGCCTCCCGAGTAGCT